TGATGTGGATGCTCATTGGGATTTCTTACTGCATATTATATTATACGCTTCAAAACCGTTCATTCCACAAATGGTCCCCAAAATCTAAAAGCAACCTACAGTCATCAGAGACCATACTCCTCGGTTCCAAAGTCACGAAAGACACTACTGTACAGAATACGAAGGAACGAGTAATAACAACGCATAAAGGCAATTCAAACATGCAAGGAACCATTTTACAGAGGCAATGAGAGAAGACAGACTTCAGTAACAGACAAATCTTATCGACAAATTTGTCTCCAGTCCGAAAAGCTTAGTCCATCATGCAGCCTCTCTTCAAAGAGACAAAACCGGAGTTTCCCGAACTCTAGGTTCTAATGGCTCGATCAGCAATGACAGTAACGCCGCTAATCTTCTGACGGGACAGTACTTTCGAACATTTCAACCGATCCATGCTAATTATATTGATGAAATGTTCACCAGTAACCCAACAGGAAACTTAGAACTGGACCTGAGTGTTGACCTTGTGTACCGGAAACTGAAGCATTTAAAAAGATACATCTGCTGGTCAGGATATTTTTCATTCTGCTATAATGAGGGAAGCGACTTCAATCTTAGAAACACCACTTAGTGCTATGTTCTCACATTCTCTAAGCCCAGACAGGTTATCAGAAAATTGGAAGCTGGCTCATGTCACACTAATTTTTTAAGGGGATCGACATAGCAAACCTTCAAGCTACCGACTTATAGCACGTCTATCAATGCCCTCAAATCTTATAGAGTCCCTGTTACACGATGGTCTATGTGACTACTTACTATCCATAAACATAATTTCACCTTAGCAGCTCGGTCTCAGGAAAGGTCAAACTTGTATAAAGAACCTGCTGACTACGGTGGACGGATGGACAACCATTTTTTACCGCAAGGAGAAGAGTGACGTCATTCACCTTGACTTCTCAAAAGCTTTTGATAGGGTCAATCATATATGATTTATCAATAAATTCAAACGACACTGTTACAGGAGAACTGAAGACATTTGGCGAAGTAAAACCTTTTTTTCTGTATATTAGTAATTTACTGTGTTTTTGGATGCACTTGTCTGACTTAACTTTTGAACTTGTTTGTTTATATCATTATTTTGGACATTTTGGTTTCCCTTTGTCGTTGGTTTTGGTATTTGGTAGTTTTGCTCCACGAACCTACAAAATTGAAGGTTTGTTTTGTAATTGCTATTAATATTGTTGTTAGAACGACATTTGGTCGACTATTTGTGAATTGCGAATAAATTTAGTATCTTAATTGGAGTTTTGGTTCTGTTATCACTTTGGGTTCGTAATTTGCAAGAAGATCGATAGTCCGTAATTCAATAACTAGGACGAGCAAAACTTGGACGTGACAGATACAACTTAAGTAACTGCGCTCTAGAGGTTTTCCAAGTTGAAAAATACCTAGGGGTGTTGGTATCCTACTATTTAAAGTTTTACGCTAACTGTGACAAATACGCCTTCGGAGCAAATAAAGTTGGAGCTCGTTTTCGGTTAGTTCCACCGAAAGACTTTCAAGCTAATCTTCGACTTCATTCAGAGTATAGGAATATAGCGTCTCCTCTCTCATTCAAAAACGATGAGGACACACTGTAAGGTATCCAACGCTGAGACATGAAATCAGTTGGGGACTCAAATTAATGTCTTATGAAGAACGCCTCTAATCACTGTACCATTGCACATTAAAGTGCAGGCTTCTTAGAGGTGACATTCTAATGACATACAGTATTTCAAACACTTCTTAGCATCCCTCCAAACACTTACTTAAGCTCAGTCGCAACATAAAACTCAGTAGTAATACTCAGAAGCTGGAGAAATACAACAGTAGAACGAACCGTAGGCACACATCCTACTCCCCAAGAGAAATCAAGTGCTGGAATTTGCTGTTGACTGAGCTAGTTCAAGCTACTTCCAAGGAGTCCTTCAATAGAAAACTTCACTTATTCTTAAGTACTAAACACACTATCCTATTATAATTTACCAACTTTTATTTCTTTTTTCTGTTTTATTGTTAATATACCTAGGTTCTTACCTGAAAACTTCGGTGATCCACTGCTACGAAATACGAGAGACTGTGAAGTGAAAAATTTCTCTATTCCGTCCAGAATCTTGAATCTTGGATATCTTACCAGTTATCGGGCCAGGAGCTAGCAATACCTGGGATGTCTTTGCTTCGCAATGACAGAAAAACGGGAATTGGGGGTGGAGTGGTTTTATACATATAATCTTGCTTGACGGCAAACCAAGTTCACAACCTCGAGTTAAACAATCTTGTGGAATCCATATGGTGCTCTGTAAGATTGTCTACTACTTTGAGGTGCCTAGTCGGAGTCATATATAGGAAGCCCATTGCTGATATCGTGTATGACAGTCGTATGCTGGAAGGACTATCCCGCTCTACGCGTCTTCGTTTCACTCATATTTTGATTCTAGGGGACTTCAATCTCCCTAGAGTCAATTTCGCGGAACATACGTATATTGTGGGGTGAAAACTCAACTGAAGCTCAGTTCTTCAACCTCGTTGAGTATTTGGAATTATACGAAAGTGCGAAGTCGGTAACTCGTTGGAGAAACAGACAGACACCGTCGCACTTAGATTATGTATTTACAAACGAAGAATTCCTAGTTGACAACCTCTCAATCCTGACTCCCCTGGGAAAAAGCGATCAGGCCGTTATAGCTTTCAGTTTTGTCAGCAAAACTGAGCTAAGATACCTCACCAACAAAATACGCTGGAATTTCAAAGGGTTGAATGTGTCAGCCCTACAGGACGATTTACAACAGATGGACTGGGATGTTCACTCTCTACTCGATGTGGATACTCATTGGGACTTCTTACTGCACACGATCTTATGTGCTACAAAGCAGTCAGTTCCTCAAACGGTCCCCAAAAGCCACAAGCAACCTACAATCATCAAGAACCGCACACTTCGCTTGCTATGCAGCCAAAAGCACTGTTGGGTAGAATACAAGCGAACTGACAACAACGGCGCGTACAGGCAATACAAACATATAAGGAATATATGCACAAAGGCTATAAGAGAAGACAGAATTTAGTACCAGATAAAGCTTATAGATAATCTTGTATCTAATCCGAAAAGCTTATTCCGTTATACAGCCTCTCTTTGTCAAGCCAAAACTGGAGTTTCCTAACTGCTAGGTCCTAACGGCCCGACCAATAACGACGGCGACTCCGCTTACCTTTTGGCTGAACAATACTCTCGGACATTTCAACCGAGCCACATCAACTCTATTGATGACAGCTTCATCTGCAACTGCACAAGACTTTCCACAGTGAACCTGAGCGCTGATTTGGTGTTTCGGAAACTGCAGCACCTAAGAAAAAACAGTCCTCCTGGCCCAGATATGGTCCATTCTGCTATACTGAGGAGAGCAGCCTCAAACCTCGCAATGCTGCTTCGCGTGATGTTCTCACACTCGCTAAGCCGAGGCAAACTACCGCAAAATTGAAAGCTGGCTCACATCACACCAATTTTCAAAGAAGGTCGACACAGCGAAACTTCAAGTTACCGACCGGTGGCTCTTCTCTCCATACCCTCAAAAATCATGGAGTCCCTGATATGTGATGGTATAAACGACTATTTACTGTCCTTAAATTTCTTGTCACCCCAACAGTATGGTTTCAGGAAGGGTCACTCTTGTATAACCAACCCGCTGACTGCGGTGGACAGATGGACAGGCGTCCTCAATCTCAAGGGGAAGGTTGATATCATTTACCTTGATTTCTTAAAAGCTTTTGATAATGTCAGCTATACATGTCTTATCAATAAGCTTAAACGATTGTGTATCAGACCACCTCTGATTGATTGGCTCACTTCCTATCTGAAAAATTGACATTTTAAGATAAAGGTCAACTTCATTTTACCTCAGGCTATGTAATGTTCTAGCGGGTTCCCCCAGGGCTCAGTACTAGAACCTCTTCTCTCATTGATTTATATAAATGATCTTCCTCAACGGGCATTGTCAGATTTATTACTTTTTGCCGATGACGTGAAACTTTGAAGAGAGATACGCAACCAAGACAATATACGGGCACTTTAGGAGGATCTGACTCGACTTCAAATTTGGGCAGACGATAACGAAATTACCTTTAACACTTCAAAGTGTAAAGTAGTTCATCTGCGACATATCGCAGACTATAGTTACAACTTGGGAAACTCCTCTCTAGTATAATCCCAAGTCGAAAAAGATTTAGGAGTCCTGGTGCTCTACGATTTAAAGTTTTACGCTGTGACAAAAATGCCTTTCGAGCAAACCTTACACTGGTAACATCGAAGCGCATTTTTGGCCATTCTGATGGAAGAACTTTCCATGTAATCTTCAACAGTTTTAGCCGTTCCCATGTAGAGTACGGAAACATAGTATTTCTTCTCTTACTTCAAAAGGATAAGGAAACTCTGGAGCGTATCCAACGGCGAGCCACGAAATCAGTTCGAGGATTCAAATTCAAACCTTATGCAGAGCGCCTCCATTCAGTTAACCATTACCCATTAGAGTATAGGCGTCTCAGAGGTAACCTTCTGATGGCTTACAATATCCTTAACACTTCTGAACATCCTCTTAAACACCTACTTAAGCTTAGTCCCAATACTAACCTAAGGGGTAACACCCAGAAATTGGAGATACAACATAGCAGAACAGACTGTAGACACAACTTCTACTCCTTAAGAGTTGTCAAATGCTGGAGTTCGCTGCCGGCCGAGTTAGTCCAAGCGACTTCCCAGTAGTCCTTTAAGAGGCAATTTGATCTATTCTTAAGGACTAAGGATATTATCATACTATGATTTACCAATTTATTTTTCCTCTTTTTTCGATAACATACCTGGGTTCTTGTCTGGAGGTATTGGTGATCCCCTGCTACTCGACACAGAAGCCTGTTAAGCGAAAGCTTCTTCTGTTCCGTCCACAACCGTTTTAACCATTTGTACCATTTAGAACAATTTAAACCATTGGAAACTGATTTCGTTCGCTATAGCGCGGAAAATTGATTCAGTTGGTTTTGCTTTAAGTAGGATTCTTATTGATCTTTGTCGTGTAGTGGTTCTTGTTTATGGGCTGTTTACAATGTGTTCACTGGCCTAGTTAATCAACTGCATAACCTGATTTCCCATATATGGGATACATCTTGGTAAATGTACATTTTTCTTATCGGAATACGCATGCGAACAAGTAGGATTAGGTGCTAAAGTGTAAAGCTACGAGTTTGCTAAATTCGCCCGGCTGCACCCCCATGAGTTTGCTGTACATATCAACCAGAAATATGCGACTACATACTGAAACTCGTTTCAACAACAGAGTAGTTGGTCTAAAAGTTTAGGTTTAGCAGGATTTATTTTAGTGCAAGCAATCGTATTGTCTTTCTGGTCTGGTTATTCTAGCTTGATAGGCAGGACTAATCGCCTGTAAAGTGTGGAGGTAACTGCATTAGAAGCACGAGTTTGCGCAGTTTGTGTCTGACTTGTTTGAGCCCGCCCTTGATTGTTGATACTACAGTTTTTGCTTACTGGGTTGTAGGTTTTGGAACATTTGTTCTATGAAATCCTTCAAATTAGGGCTTGATGCTTTTGTGCTTCCATGATCTTCCTGATATCCTCACTGTTCATGTACATAACATGATATGATCAAAAGATAAATTATCACCCTTAGTCCTTTGCCTATATTCGTCTGTCTGTACAATACATCAGCTATTGTTGCCTATTGCTAGTAGTCTATTTTTATCTTATAGTTCTGGGCTTTCATTGACCTTGTCTTCAACAAATATGTTTGTAGGATTTTCAGTCAGTAGTGATAGTTAAGAAAAGTTAAGCTCAATACAGGAAGGATAAAAGTTTTGTACATTTGCTTCCTTGTGACCAATTATGAACCATTTGTCCAATTTCTGATCTCTTAACCCCAACTATTTAGCTTTCATTTATGAACACGATTCTTTTCAGTAGTCACTAAATTTGTAAACTGATGCCATATTTCGGTTTGGCCCTTTTAGTTTTCTTTTTACTTATTTCTAGTTCAGCCACCATAGCTTCTAAAGTTCAGTATCAGCCATTTCGATCGATGCAGATTAATGACCTCAACAATCAGTTTATCATCTTTCCATGATATCTTGCCTTTGACCTCATCATTTCTGGTGAGGTTATAATCAATGGACGACCTTTGAGCATTTCTAAACTGACCTGGAATGTGTCTACCTACTTGCTAGGGCTAAGTTAGGGTTATAAATTAGTGCCAAAAATTAGGATCTGCGGGTAAAGGTTAAGGTTAGGAATTACAGTTAGTTTTCATCATGCTTTAGTGCTAAAATGTTATTTAACCATATGGATGAGTTTCGCACCAAAATTCAGGATGTACTATCTTTAATTTCTTTCGTTCGTCCATAATTTATAATTTCCTGGTTGCTCACTCCGTTGTTTCATCAAGCCCTAGCAATCCCTAAAGGACATCTATGATTAAAATGTTTCGCTTACGCGTATCTTCTCTTTTTATAGATCATGCTTACAACCATAGGGTAATATGGAATCAAGATTACTTTCTGTTTTTTATACTTTCCTATTACATTAGGACTTTATAAAGTAATTGTCATTTTAGCAAAAGCAAATTTCTGTGAAATTCAGTTCGTGTGTAAAACCATGCTAGAATCTCTGCCGCTTGAGAATAGCTATCCTAGTAACGTCAAGCTTAAATACAAAAAGCTATCTTATCAAGCGACAACTCCTACTCGTGGATCTCTCTTTGCTGCTGGTTACGATCTTTATGCTGCTCATGAAGCTACCATACCTCCTGGGGGTCGTGAATTAATAAAAACGGACATACAGGTGATCTATATAGGCATTGTTTCAGTAATCATTGTGTTATGTAAAATTTGTTATAGATAAGTATGGTCACTAAAACTAAATTTGCTGATGTACAAATTCTGGTTTCATACTCAGGCTCAAACTGAGTTTATGATCACAATCTCCCCCACCTTCGTATATGTATTTAATAAAACCCGTTCATATGTTGGTCTGGACCACCTGTACTACGTAGAGAAAACTGTACTCAAGATCCGTAATGTGGCTTGAAGTCACTCTGTAAAGTTTTCAGTAGCTTATAATATGGAAGTTTGTACCCAATAGAAAATTTGGCACTAAAATTTCTATTTGTTGAACTTACACGTTTAAAGCGTCAAAAAGTATGGTTATTGCTATCTCACTACCTTCCCATACGGGTTTTTACTAGTCACATTCTCTTTTCGTCTTCTAAATTTCGTAAACACCACCACCACGAGAAGGCAGTGACTTCCCTGGCAGTGGTTGTATGCACGTGGTCATTTAAGAGCATTTCGAGATCGAGGACTCTCTCCACCCTCGGCTTTACCAGGGCGTTTGGGGACCTGTATGTACCAACCGTGCTTTGAAAGATAACGTTACATATTACCGCAACGTCTAGTTCCTAGAATAGTAAAACTTTAATCGAGTTAGAAATTGCAAATACTGATCGGAAAGTAAGAATATATGTTAGCAATTTGATTACTATCTATCCTGCTTCAATGTCTTTTGAGGATGACAAATCAATATTAGTAAAAACAGTTTTAAAGTATATCTCCAAGTGGATTTTATCCACCAAGATACAAAATCACAAATCAGGACAAATTCCTCAAATTTTTACAACAGTTTACCCCATACTAACAACATACTTTACCATATTATGCGTACATTCGACGTTCTTGAACATCTTCGCTTTGCTGCTGAATCAAATTTATACTGCTTGTGCAGGTTCTGGATCCGTGTATGACTAAATATATATATTGCATCATAGACGTTCTACACGTTGTTTACTGACAATCTAAATGTCTCAATACATTTTATCTTTCATTTTCGTGGTCGTCTGTTGTTAAATAGGTTGAATTGCCAGAAGGTTGTTATGGTCGTGTCGCTCCACGAAGCGGACTAGCCTTAAAACATGGGATTGATGTTGGTGCTGGTGTCATTGACCGAGACTATAGGGGAAATCTTGGCGTAGTACTTTTTAACTTTGGAGAACAAAATTTTGAAGTAAGTTCATCGTTGTTCATCATTTTCACTGCTGCAACTTGTTGCATAACTACACTTCGATGTGATTTCTCAGAGACGTACTATAGCGAAATATGCCTTTTTTAGTTACGTGGACTTGTTTCCCCGTTTTTATTAGGCCATAATGTTTTATTCATTATCTTAACTGACTCGCCTATGGCATCAAAACATGGTCACATTTGGAAAATATCCAAAAACTGTCCCATACATGGGACATTAGTCTGACCGTTTGTTATGTTGTGCTATGTATATTTTTTTATTTACATCCTATTTCTAATAATGTATCTTAATATGTCAAGTGACCTAATTCACAGTGCCTGATTCTTCAAGATAGTATCGATGCCGTTTTTTCTCATAGTCACGAACATATTGGCCATGGTTTTTGATGTGTGTGCGAGTAAAATAGCGATTGGTTACTTACATAGTCTGACAGGTATTAGATGTGTTATCTATTTTTCAATCCCTTGTTATTGTCGGATGTTGACGTTGAATCATACGCACGTCCTAGTCAAGCCGGCCACTTGTTCTTGATCCGAGTTGCGTTGATATCCTGTAGAATAGACACTGGCAGGGTATCTAGTGCAGATATTCGTTTAAGGCAAATTAATGTCCTATTGGTGTAGCCTTACCAGATGGTTTGTGACTGCAAATTCTCATCATCAACTTTGATGGAAATCTAACTTCTATTTTATTCACTGACGACCGAAAAGCATGACTAACAGACAATCTTTTGTGGTTTGTACGTTCACTTAGTTGGATACTTTTTTGAGGAAATGACTATACTGCAATCTACATATTTGCCGTGGTATATAACATCTCATGTATTTAAAAGTGGGTAAGACTTATGGGGAATCTGGTTTTTCGCGTTAATAGGAAAATACGTCCTGTATAAAAGTACTCTGTAGCAATTAGGCTAGCCTTACACTAAGTTATTGGGTATTGGTATGAGCTGTAATTTCTTAATGTTGCCACATACGTAACTACTTTCGTTAATGGTTAACTTTATCAGTCTAAAATTCAATATTTTGTTCCTTCGTAATGTTATTCGACGAAAAACGTCATTTTGATTTATAAGTGTTTCTTTATACTCAGATTCAGAACGATCGTGCCTGGTATTTACAGGCTTACTAAATAATTTTACTGTATTCATTTCAGATTAAAAAAGGTGACCGTGTAGCACAACTGATTTGTGAACGTATTTTCTGTCCTGAATTAATAGAATGTGAATCGTTGGCGGAAACGGATCGTGGTTCAAATGGTTATGGTTCAACAGGAGTGTAGAGCCTAATAATTTTATCAGAATCAAAATATTTTTTACAATAAATATATAAGAAATATAACCCATTTTTATGCCTGCAAATAACTTATAAAAATTAACAGACTATCCAATATTAAGCTGAGTTGGAGACTTTTGTTACTCTTTAAACGTGAACTGGTCGTCCCACCTATGTTTACAAAAGTAAATACTTCTCTCATTTAGGTTTAAGAAATGATACTGACTAATTTTTTATTGATTGTTTGTTGATACTTGAGTTTTGTACACACGTTTCTCTTTCGAATTATTAAAGACGACCTTGTAGCACGTAATAATCATGAGGCGTAGTGGCAAGTTGGAAAATGTTAACTCCATTTTTTAATCAGTTGTGAACCTGAGTGATGAATATACGAATCCATTCTATTGATAGCATTGGTTTGGATTTGAGATCATTTTAACATAATTTAAGAACGTGAATCATTCACTTCGAATTATCCATCAGAATTGTTGACAAAGCATCTTTGTTAATTCTGTGCTGTGAAAAAAAACAGAATTACAAAATACTGTTGATCTGTTTAGAGTGTCACGTGTCGAAAGTCAATTTCCCATCGCATGAACAAACACTTAGACCTGAAATAGTTAATTACAACCTCATTTAGTCATGCAAAAACTAAATTCATGCATTTGAGTATTGTATAAACTCTCATGCTTTCAGTAGAGTTTTCTGGACTTATCAGGTTTTAGATGTTGGAGCATTCTTAAGACAGTACCTTTCTCAATAACTACAGGGTCTATCACCAAGCCCCCATAATCACAATTATTCGTTGGTCGTTCCTCATTGCTGATAGAAAACACTTTACTGAAATATCCTGATAAGTCTTCCGTTTTTTTCGGTATCATTTCTTGCCAATATTAACGGATTTACTTGTGGTGGAATTCCATCACTTCTCTAAATTCGCCTTTTCTTATACGAGAACAACCGTGTCGGGCTGTTTTCAAAATCCTTTATCAATTGTTTTTCATACAACTGTCTACTCTTATTAACGCTTTACAAGCATTCCTAGTCTTACAATAACTGGAGCTGTACTGCTCTAAGCCAGTAGAGATGAACATATTCGAATACTTTTTCCATGGTGGGCAGTTATTTGGTTTGCGTGGTACCAGGCATGGTATAAACGGGGACGTAACTGAACTAAACTTGACTTTGAATATAGACCATGCTTCTACTGACCGACCTGTCTTAGCACAGCGCACTCCTGAATGACTGACATGTTAGCTCTCCATACATTTGGGCGAGGCTTAAACTGACCGTATGTCATGTCACTAGCTGTAAACGTTAACGACATGACAGCGTGACAGCTACTCGTTAAGAGTGGAAGAAAGTTTAGGCTGGCAATATCCTCAGTCGCATGAGCGATTACCAAGGACAACAAAGAAGAACCTTGGTTTGCACAAAAACGTATGGGTTTGGATACATAGTGTACGAATGCACGCTCCCTTACCGTTATCAGAAACCTACTAACAAAGGAGTTTACAGATCCTACCGTGATTATATCACTCCAACTGATATCAAGCATCTAATTTGCGCTCCAAAATAAAGTCATCAGCTAAGCAGATTGGGCCGCGAAGTATACTCCGTAGTTGTTGATGTAGTTACGTGATCGTATCATTAATCAATCTTAACAGTTAAAGTCTAGTTGCGATAATTATTTGGCGTGAGTTCGCTGTGTCGACTCCCGTTACCTATTGACCATGCTAATAGAAATCCCATTCGCATTTATGCATGCGTTCACGGTTGGAGGGCGTGGTGTAACGGTACTGAATCTTAGATTTCCGGCTGCCGAGAAACACCCAAGTCGGAAATAATGGCGCGGGCTCTTTGGTCAGATACTCAAACGGGAGACCCTGCGTTACCATGTCGGCACAGCAACGAAACTACACCACAGCAGACGGCGACCATACAAACAAGGGTCAACCGCCCCTTTCGCGCAATTGCCTGTGACTACTAAACATAGTGTCCACAACAGCAACTATGCGATGGGTACGTCTAGCATGTGATTAGGGTGGTAAGTTATTTTCTGCAAGCTTATTCGGTTTGCCCGTGGATGGTACGATTAGTCCTAGGACGAGATAGAATAAGTGAACACAAACCTAGTAGGGTACCTTCACTTGGTTACGACTCTTCAACCTTTCTACTGATGTGTATTTCTTCACATTAGGTTGAGGATGTTCCCCATTATATGGTTTAGATATCTTTACGTCATATTCCAACATGTGAACTGCGTTTAACATTCTGAAGCATTCGGATGAGACGCAAGATGGGTTTGAGGACAATGACGGAATTTCATAGGACGAAGGATGTTGCCTGTATTAGACCGAATCTAAACTTATGTAACTTGTCACAATTGCTGTATAATGGATTTCTGACTCATGGATTAGAATGACCTTCGACCGCCCCCCTCGCTATTCAGTCGGATGAACTATTAACAATAACCCATTACTGTAACGCTGGTCTCACAGTGCAGTATTAGTCAACTTTGGGCACTAAGTATAGTTATCCCTCTAATTCTGAAGTGAAGTTAGGACTTTTGTTAGCAAACAAAATTTATTGAGTGGTTGCAATTAGTGAAAAAACAGGGATGAGTTATAGAATATCGATTAATTCCACATCAAATTTAAGTGTAGCATTTGGAGGGATAACTTTGTCGACACCCTTGGAACCATATGCGTAATCTGGGGTACAAGTTAGGTAGGCACGCTCGCCTACACTCATTTGAATTACACCTTCATCCCAACCTCGAATTACCTAGAAGGATGAGATTCAAAAACAGCAATTGTATTTACTTTCCCCGTCCCGATTACAAATTCGAATGGTTTATTTCTATCACGGGAGCTGTCAAACTTTTTCCCATCCATTAGGGTACCGGTGTAGTGAACAACGACTCTCTGACCTTTCTTCGGAATTCGTTTCCCATCGCCTGGCTTGTAGGTATCAACAGTTACACCCATGCCGATGATTGTTAGCTAACAATGGTGAATGACCTCGTCGTGAAGGTCATCAAATGGCAAGTTCAAGCGTCTCAACAACAGTTTTTGCTATAGAACCTGATATTTTCTAGTTGTTGCGAATTTATTTCGCAAATCGACTTGTGTTTGTGTATATTCAAGCGCATAATCGACATTTTCATTTTTATTGTTGGTATGCATGGTGAACAATTGGCAATATCCTGTTCCATTCATTTGTTTTCTTCTTTATGTGATTTATTCGAACTCAGGTTTAATTTCTGAGTATAAGATATGGTTTCTAACCTTATCACTTGTTCATCTTCTGTTGTTGAGGATCCTTTTTCTCAATATACTGTTATGTATTAAATAATTATGAACAATGGATTTTCGTAACATACTCAGAGTATGTGCACATTAGGAAACCAATAAGCTGGCGATTTCAAGTGAACTTATCGCCTGAACAGTGTTAGATCACCACTGGCACGATGGAAGCATTTTACGATGAATATGCAGTGCCAATTCAAAATATTCTGTTGTAAATGTTATACAAAAGTAGATCGTCTACTATTATTAATTTTATAATAATATTACTGGGAACGTTGTTAAATCATGAGACGCTTGTTGCGTCGTTTTTCCTCCTAGTTTTTTTCCTTTCCAAAGTAGTGATTTCGTTGACTCTCCCAATTAAAGTTGGAGTTAGGGAAAGTTTAGAGCCAGATGGCTGCACAGAGCCGAAATCAGTAAACAGATTTGGATGTATCCTTTTTTACCATACGGTCAATTAATTGGGCGTTTTTATGCAAAACAGTGAAGGTGAAATTAATTTTTAGGCGATCAATAGCTTTTAACACATATAACTAGATTTTAGGTCGTCCGCAACAAAGTCCACCAATGCTCGTTAAATGTTCTGGGAATACTTGACAAATCCCTGTTAAGGTCTCAGAAAACGGTTGTTGATCGTTCAGACCTGATGTGGTATCATCGTCACTGGGGAGTTTTTTAGTTTGTCTCAAAGTAAACTGTACTGTGTAGTAAAAAATTGGCGACATATTGGTTTTCACAGCTTATGGTTGGTAGTTTAGAAGTGTTGTTTCTTATTCTTTGGGCATAGTTGTGGATTACGACTTGAAAATGAAATCCAACTTACTATTTTGTAGAAAAACAGGTCCTTCATTTGTTAACGACCTTGTAAACTTTCTAAGGCAATATGTCTACAACAACCTATTTAGTCAAGGATAGAATCCTATCCCAATGAACGATGTGTGAAGGTTTTCTTGATATTCCTCACTGATATCTCATCCGTGGTATTCATATTTGAGAAAATGCATAAACGATGTTCAAGGTAGGGTAATATACATATTCAAAAAGTGTAAGCTTAGTCTCTTTGATCAAGAACCCTTTACTATGAAACCCGTCAGCATTCCTGATGTGAAAATGATACATGAAGTATGTTCTTGTACACTTTTCGTACAATGAACCACTAGGCCGAATTTCAAGTTAAATATCTGAACTCTACACTAATTTAAGCCCAGTAATTATTATAGAGACACTTTCCAAAATGCATGATCTCATATTCATTATGATTACGTAGTAGCTGCCGATTTTTACTACAGACAGACAGGTTGTCGCACTGAAACTGAGAAATCCTTAGCCCACAGCTCCGAACCTAGCTATGTACTATGATGAGTTTATCGGCATACATGTATGATCCTTTACAACTGGTCACTATATGGTGACCACTGTCATATCTTTCTTGGTGCACACTGAATTTTGCAGATCAGTTTGTGGTGTGACAACCGTTTTAGATGACTCGACATCTTGACAAGGACAAGATCCTCAAATACGACACGGAGGTCAGCGACCGAATCACAGTTGATAGGGAAGCTCTGGAAGATATGGGAGTATCATCGATGAGCGAGGAGGATCCATTGCCGACCTTAATGCGAGGATTTACAAATCAGTGATAGCATTCGCACAAATGAAGAACATATAGAACTCAAAACGACTCTCAACCAATATCAAAGTCAAAATCTTCAATATGAACTCCAAGACAGTCCTACTATGCGCAGCTGAAACTTGGAGAACTGCCACAACCTTAAGCGAAAATACAAAAACATTAATAAACAGCTGTCTACACAATCTACTGTTTAGGTGAACAAACCAGCTTCCAGTTGAAGAGGAAATTGAGAATAGACGTCGGAAGTGGACATACATCGCGGAAATCATGAAACTGCATCACAAAGTGAGCGCTTATTTGAAACCCGAAAGGGAAAGGAAAAAGAGAAGTGCCAAACATCACATTACGTCGAGATTTGGAAGCATACAACAGAATAACGGATAGCAACTGGAAAGAAATGAAAAGGACCGATCAGGACAGAGTTTGATAGAGATTGTTGGCGAGAGTCCTATGCTTTTCACTGAGGAGTAATAGGCGTAAATTGGTAAGTATGTGAGTAACACCCACAAATTGGCTTCTGTGTCAACGTAGAAAAGGATGAGTAACCATGAACACCAAAGGATCATTTGTAAGTGTAAACTGTTTTGGTGCAGTTTTAACTAACTTACCCGTAAAGAGTGCTATGGGTCATTACTTTCATAGTCCGTCACTACAAGCGCATTTTGGCGAGCTTTTAACTTTAAAATAATTCTGAACGAATTGGTGACCTCACAGGAAGGTATTGAGGTAGGTCTTGATTAATCTTCTGGGTTTTCATTTGCTGGTGATTGATTCTTGCTATTTCTGAGAATTTTGGAGAGTTCGATAGAGTCATTACCAAGTTTTTCAGGGCGTTTTTCTGGTCCAATGATATACTGTAAATGCATTTGCACTGTCTTAACACATACCAATGTCCTCAAAACAAAGAAAAAACGTCTTCATGTTTGTGGGATGGTTTGTCATATAAAATAAAATATTAAGTGTTAACTTGAATAAGCTTATAAGTTATAATAAATTGTGAAATAAATTACCAGAATTATTATAGTCAACATTGATCGTGAGAGAGAGAATAATGTAGTTACAAATCAGAAATAATATAATATGTTGGATAATATTCAGTAGGCAAGCATTAGTGTATACGGGTGGATGCTGCTTCTTTTACTCTGGTCAACCTCGGGCCGAACTACTTAAAGCCAATTTGTGATATGGTGACGTAATTTGATTAATGTTTACTTTTATGTCTTAAACTTATCCACACATCTTACCATTGTCATTATTGTTGTCATTACATAATTGTTACATTTGCTAACCTTCCCTGGCCTAGACTCCTCCGAACGTTTGCTGAGTATACCATTATAATAGCTAAGAATACCATATTTTATCCCACAAAATTTATATTTAAATGAACGTAAGATGTTTCTGTACAAGCTCGAGGTTGATTTCATCTTTGAATACTATCATTACATGTTTACCAATTAATTTAAATCCGATAAGTTGTAAATGATAAGAGTGCGATGATATTTCACTTAAAGTGTACTTGATACTGACACAGTAGCTTCCTTAACACTCAAATGCGATCCTCCAAACTAAATATGCAATGGAGAAATTTTTGAATGAATCTAATACTACTATAAATTACTTTACAAATAAGCATAAATTTCACGTATTATAACCTATTCTGTAAACGAACATCCACATCAACTTGTGAATAAAGTACTCGAAGACGACAACGAAAAAATATAACAAAAGCCATAATGTTTGTTCATCACCTTTTTACGTTGTTAAACAGGCATTTAATATCTATTTTATTTACGTTCAGTTAATCTACTAATGATGTACATAAAGGCCTATAACTTTCGAGGTATTTCATTTCAGTCGTCAAAATGTATCTAGTTACATCGTCTGCGAACATATTACAATGGTGTATTCGAAGTTGCTGGATAAAAAAGCAAATACAGCGAAGGTCCGAGGTTGAAGCAGAGATCGTAGTAAGCATTACGCCATTATATCCGACATGTACCTGCCAAATGAATATAAAGATGTGTAGTATTAAACAAACCACTGAAATGAACATCTTCATAGGTTTATGACGATGTTACCGATCTTATCGGCCCAACTGTACATAACCCCATAAACTGAAAGCTCTCAGCCAAGCATTCGTATCAGATGACAAATAAATATGATTTGTTCTGCTATCTTCCTCAATTCAAGTGACTGAGTAACTAGTATGAAAAGTTTAAGTAGCTGTAACACCCACATATGAAAACACCAGACATGTATTTAAAACAGCATATATATATTTTCATCGTTCACTTCGATTTTCCTTACCTTTCTGATGAGTATAACGAGTGTACGTCAGCAGCATATTTGAAACTTTTTAAAATCCAAACTCGAATTCTGTACAACCGAAGAAAATCTGATCGAGCGATTTTAATAAAAATATAACGTTAGGGTCTACAGAAGCCGAGTTGAATTGTTATTGTGGTGTATGCTAATTATGTTCACATAAGTATGTAGCATCAGTCAGAAATTAACTGCCTAGCAGCAGAAGATGGGAAGATATAATGTAAGAGAACGGGAACAGTGAGTAATTCTTATGGGAACGAAGGAACCATGCAGTTCGCGACAATCGATGGAGGATTTGCAAATGAAGTATTGAATTTATGGTTTTCACATTTTACCAAAGAATTCTGTAGTTTTGCACTCAAATACAATAGGTTATCCCCACCTGTGTTCTCGTTCACCATAATACTACAATTAGCAATGGGTAGGAAACGCCGAACTATCCCGAAACGTTTATTTAGATGCAGAGTACAGGGTAACGAAAAACACTCAGAGAGGTTCAATTATTAGAATGTTTTACAAGTTATCCACACAAATGCACACGTACTAAAAAATCAAGAAAGCATACAACTTTTTTTCATTTCTTTCTTTTTCGGGAAGACTGGAAAAGATGAAAACCAAACACAAATGCAATGAACCGAAATTAACTACAAATTTATTATTATGTAGAACATAGCTTATTAGAGTTGAGGATAACTAACAGACACTACTGAACATAGCAAACTATAGGGGGAAAGTTTATCATAGGTCATTACTACCACACTAGAGGGGCAGTGAGTCAGTGAGGTGAATAAAACCCTGAACATAAAAAGTTCTGTTAGGTTTCGACATTGTTGTTGACCTTACTAGTTTTGCTTGTCAGTTTCTAGCTAAAGTCGCTTGGTTTTACATCCAGACTAAATCATCAGTGGCTCCGTAATGCTACACATGTCTTGCAACAACTAGCCAGCTTATTCAACATCTTTTCCAACCGATCGATCATCTTTAAAATGTATCCTCAAACTCCGTAACTCCCGACATCTGACTTGAATTTGTTTTGGATCTGCGATTAAAAAAATGTTACCGTCAAGAGCATTCCCGACTGCTGAACACTCGCGACATTTCTGTTCTCATCTGGATGATTAGGTTTTTTTTCCACTGAAATTTCTTTAAGATGAAATTCAGACTCTAATAAATCTGGCATTGTCACATTTGCTGCTATCGTTGGTAGACATATAGCATGAGATTATATGCAATCGTTTCCTTGTTTTGATGAACACTTTAATTAACAGGAAGTCATAAGATGTTCACGCTACCAGTGCGTTTAGCTCTTATTTGCATAGCCTCGTTGAAATTATAAGAAACCATTTTCTGGTGTCATTACACAGATTTCGAGTTCACTAAGGGAACACTCTTCGAAATCGTAATTGAAATTCCAAGCGTCTGTCTCACCACTAAAGACTTAGAAACAAACACCATTAAAACACTACTTATATAATTAGGACTAATTGATACAATGGTACAATGATATTTTGTTGGTATATCATCAACGATGATCTGTATCTAAGATTGTGGGCCTACTCGAGTTAGACGTGAATACTAAAAGCAACCAGCTAACGCCGGAATCGAATCTCACGGTGAGTACCTAATGTGGACTACACTTTCGCATTATCCAAGTACTACAGATACTTTTGCGATCGTACAACATTAACGTTACTACAGACATATGTTGGTAAAAGAACATAATGTGTTTACCACTGCATGAGCAAATTCACTCAGTGTGATTAACTGATGAGTGTTAGTTGTACTTGAGTTCGATGAGGAACTATGAACTATTCGATATAAAGTGACCAGACTGCCGGATTGTTTGACCTTGACCCCGTAAAATTTCACTGGACCTACAAGCCGAGCTATTCCGCGACAAGACATGTATTTGACTTTTATTATATTAAAATTATTTCTTACTACTTCGTCGGAGAAAAATGTTTAGAATGACTCATACATTTTGTTCGAGTTTGTTTTAGTGGGCCAAAATATTGTTGGTGTGTTTTCCTTGAACTCGGACTTAGCCTTTCTTGATTCACTATAGGCATGGTAGACCAAGCACCAGTGGCAGCTTTCAAACTAGTTCTTGTTGGAGATGGTGGTACAGGGAAGACAACTTTCGTGAAGCGACATATTACAGGAGAGTTTGAAAAAAAGTATGTCGGTAGGTTATGGATATATCTGCTAAGTTCAATTTAGCCACATTGGGTGTTGAAGTTCACCCTCTTGATTTTCACACAACTCGTGGTAAAATGCGTTTCAATGTGTGGGATACAGCAGGGCAAGAAAAATTCGGCGGTTTAAGAGATGGATATTACATCCAAGGACGGTGTGCAATTATTATGTTCGATGTGACGAGTCGTGTCACGTACAAAAACGTCCCTAATTGGCATAGGGATTTGGTTCGCGTCTGCGAAAATATACCAATTGTTTTGTGTGGAAACAAAGTTGACATACAGGACAGGAAGGTGAAAGCAAAGTCAATAACTTTCCATAGGAAGAAAAACTTACAAGTAAGTGAGTTTCATGCCAAATATTTTCTAGTATTATGACATATCCGCTAAGTCCAACTACAATTTCGAAAAGCCGTTCCTCTGGCTGTTTCGTAAACTCGTTGGTGATCCAAACCTCGAGTTTGTAGAAATGCCTGCAATGCAGCCTCCAGAAATCCAAATCGACCCTTACTTGGTTCGACAATATGAACAAGAAATTCAGGTAAATATGTTGTCGTCTCATTACCTTTTTAGATGGCTGCTGAGGCTCCTCTGCCAGATGAAGGTGATGAAGACCTGTGATTTTATGTGAAGTCAAATGTGGGCTAAGGACCAGATTTTCAAATAATTATATTCAAATGTAATAAATCTATTATGCGTACTTCACTGGCCTGTTATTTTTTGCGTTAGTAGTTTTTATGTTCCTAATTCCTGGCGTATGCATTAGAACCGGTATTTTTGCTGTACGTCCTCACATGTTGATTGTGTAAAGTGTATATTTCGGCCACTTAAAATGGTAATGCATGAAAGTAGTTTACTGCAACTTAACTTGCTTCAAGCTTTATCAGAAAGCTCTCATTCCTGATCTAGGGATTCTCGCACTTCTCTAGGACCCAGAAAAGTTGTCTCATACTAGTGCTAACTCTTGGTACATACTGTAATGTAATATTGACCAACTAAAGTGATGGCTATAGATCACCAGAAGTGGTTATCGTACACAATTAGTGTCAGTTGATCATCACCGAGACAGTTCTTTTCTAAGTGAGTGTTGATGCAATAGTTTTAGATTCAGATGTAGGGTTGATTGGCTTTTGCAGTGACGAAATAATAGTTATTGCAGAAGTTAGTGGGGACGATCATTGTGTACGTCGCAAATCCCCATTATCAGTAATGTCTTTGGACAAGTCGAGCTTTCAGTCGTGAACGACGACGCCAATAATCGAATAGTCATTAAGATTTGAGGGCACCAGTAACTACAGTTTATACATGCCGATACGACTCACTGACCTCTGGTGTGGTTGGGTAGTTCTGTGTACGTTACCAATGAGAAGCATAGACGAGGGGAGCCTGTCGTTCCCAAACGCGATCTCGAGTTTGAAGTGGGACTTTGTGTGACGCCTGCGAAGGTATGTTTCATCCATCATTCCCATCGTTATTACGGTCAACCTCCAGATAAGGAAAGAGATAATGTGTCCGGTCTATTTGCAACCTCATTTATGCTTTGCAAAATGTGTGAAAACCACCTTGAACTCCGTGAGAAGTATTTGCATGGGACGTTTTCATTGTGTAGAGTCAGGAATTGACATTACACGAATGATGGGTTACTAGGATTATGGATAATTTTGTTTAGCTTTTTTCTTTGTACACCTATAAATAAAGTCGGCACATCAATATTTACATAATGCGAATAATGAAAAGGATCTAAATTGTCTTGCATTCAAAACTCTTCCAGATATTTTAGTGCTTCGTAGTTCCGTTAGGACGTGTCGATTTTATGTTTTTGTTGGGAAATGTTCAAATCTTATGGTTGCTGTCATGTATTGCATAGTAGTTTCATTGTTGTTACAGGAATGTTGACGGAGAAAGGGTCACTTCTCGGAATATCCAGCTTCTAGCCGAATTTATCCATTTTTGTTGTTAGTACGATACATTGAAGCGCGCCCTAACACCTCCCTCAGTCGTTCACACAATCAAAGGGACTGGGTCGAAGGGAGGCCGGATCAAAAACTTACTGCTGAGTCGTTAGTGATCTATCAATATCAACCCGAACTCTATGTGCTAAAACGATATATGCAACTCGCCATCTTTCCTTGGCCCTGATTCCCCTTAGTACTAATTCTTCGTGTTTTTAAAATTACCGACTCGTAATTTTAAACTGCGATCAGTTATTACCATGCTTTACTGATTTTTCATGATCATTATGATATGTATGCTTTTCATCATGAATCACACCCTTACATTATTTTCATCCTTCCATTCCCTAACCCGCTGGTTATTACGCAACGTAATTTGATAATCAATGTCTCGAATCACTACGATACGATCACCCCTATATTTCTATAGATATATATTTACTATATAACTACGAATACAAATGTAAAGTCCAATTCAATAATTTTGTCTTAAAGGAAATTTTCACTGAATTCTCTTCATCTTTTTTCAGTGACACAATGAGTTATTTTAATTTGGTAAAGAAACAGTAGACTTTCTGGGTGTACTTAACAGCTTCAGGTACTGAGTTGGTGGAATAATATGCATTATTTACAGTTCGGTACCGAGGAATAATTCCATATGATTTTGACCAGGATAAAGTCTTCGATAACGTTAGTGTCTACGTGGTCGGTACATACACCCCACAAGTTATAATTAATCCTGGGAGGGTCTTCTACAATATCCAGACAGTGGCTTAAGATGGGTTAGAATGGAAGTCTGTAGCAGCACTGCAGTAACTTTCTTCATATAAGTGAGAAATTCATTAAAAGAATCCTTTCTGGTTGCATTTTTCAAAATTTAACTGCTTTTCCTATCTTTATTATTCTTTTTTCCACCCTCACACATTAATTTCCATTTATATACTTGTTATGGACTCATTTTCCGTTCTCTATCTCTACATGTGTGGCACATGTATATTTTGGTGGCCCTTGATGCCAATTTTTGTTTTAAAATAAAGATTTAGATGCTTACCTTCAAAAGTGGGCGGCTGAAACTGGAAAGACTCAGATAAGTGCACCACATTCTATTTCATGATATTTGTCTGACCGAATGAAAACAATTATTCACGTTCAATAATAGACTAATTGTGGATGGCCTGCACCTGATTACGTCTGAAATTTTTGATATTTATGTTCTACAAATGTACTGAACTTAGAAAAGGTGATTGGGCTGATTTCAGGATAATCTCTACTTGTTATTGTTTAGATGGATTGTACGTGTGCCATATTGTCGATTCGTGACAGGATGGTTGTCTAACAAACAAAGATCACAATTCTGGTGTTACATCATTTTGTTCTCTCGAATGCCTTTTACAAAACAAATTCTAAGAAGTTATTTTTAGAAACGAACAGGCCTTGAGTTGTCCGTGAGGTTACAGTTGACGAAGAACTTGAGTAAAACAAACACGTACATATCGATTTCCAACATTTGAATGTGAGGATATGGGGAGAACTCGTGAAGACAAATGCTTCCGAAATAAAGGTAGTGATATAACAGGCCAAATAGTTAAGCACTCTTAGAAAGCTTAGATGTCGAGATCTTATGGAACACGACAAACGATAGAAAATAAGTATGAGAGGATTCTGAAACAAACGAAAGTATGATAAGTTTTTTTATATTTTAACGAAGACAGATATATGGTAATTGAAGCTTTAATCCTGCTTTGAGTAAAGAGGATTTTTCTGTTTACCTTAAATGCAAATGTTTCAAATTACACACTTTAGTCTACACTAAATAGTGTAGTTCAAGCTTAATAAGTTGAATCAGAATCAACTGTTCCTTCGTCTCCAATGGTTACCTGTACTTCCCCATGAAAACCAGTTTTTTACGCAGTTGACCTGATATGAAGAAGTAATATATATTAAAAGACGTTTATTTGCAGAAATTAGTCACACTTTACAAAACTGATAATATCATTGGGCTACCCGTAAGAGTTCTTGTGCGTGGTAAAACAATTATTACAAACTGAAACCTAAAAAAAGACAAAAGTTGCCAGTAAATGTGAGGCTTATTTAGAATGTCTAGTTTTCAAAAAAAAAACCGTACGTACTTTGTCTGCATTTCATTTACAACAATTAGTCCCTTTGATAATGCAATGAGGAGACGAAGGTATGTGTGGTCTGATTGTTCGAAATATAAAGCGCAAATACATTACATGATTTTGGCAATCGTCTTCTCACTGAATTATCGAAATACGTTTATTTTCTCTTAATGCAACAAATCCACGTGAGGTTAGTGTATGTATATAGAAACTTGTGTTAAAATTTTGATGACAGTTAAAAAATTAAAAAGGTCCAGTCATTTAATCTACACATCTATTTTGTCAGTGAAAACTATAATTATGTTCGTGATTTCTGTAGTGGAATAACAACCGAACATTATAGCGGGTTTCATTCCAGAATTTGTATACGTAATACATGACGACATAAATTGATACACGGTAATTCACGATGACTTTATAGAATGAGAAAAAGTTCTTAATGGGAGATGCTACTTACTTTATCCTTTTTTCCATACTGATGATCATTAACGCTCTTTAGCATATCATGCCATAAAAGCTCCGCGTTGAGGAGTTATAAATTTGAGAAAGGTTTTTTTGCATACACTAGTTGGTGAGAAGACGTATGCTTATAAACTTATGACACAAGAATAAAAAATCCTTACTGCCGCAAAATCTGTATTTCTGAAGACTTTTCGATGATAGTTGTAGGTAGCGTTAACTGTCTAGTTAATTTATATTTCATGAAGCAATACAGTATATATCGCAAGGTATTTTTCGGTGGCGGCGGTAAAAAATCCCCTAAATAAATAGTCCTGTAGATCTTCGACATTGATGGTGACCTCATTAATTAACTAGACACATAGTGAATGCTTGCGACTACTGTTTTACCAAGAGAATTGTAGTACCACGGTCGCTGTTAGGTAAGTCACTGAGAAATTAGAAATGGGACGCCACAGTTATTATCTGTCGTAGAGTGATCATGTGAATAAAGACGACTCGCAGACAGAACAAACATCTGTCCTCTAGATTAGTGTATTCATAGATCCACACATTATTAAGAGCATTTTTGGAATTATCTCTAGGTCGTTTGAAATGTTGCCCAGGACTGTCCTATCCAGTTTGGTTAAATCATACTCAGTGATATATTTTCAGTGTAAACGTTCCAAAGGTAAGGATTCTGTATGAACTTAGGTTGCTTACAAACATAAGGAAACGAACTGAGACTGACATGCAGAAAGTAAATCATGAAGTAAAAATCCCCGGGTAAGCTTCTTCATTTAAATGGAAACTAGCTACTCAGTTCAACTATTGAAGATAGCCTTGGAAGTTGTCACATACAAACCCGTGTTGTTAGAGATAATGAAATACTGGGTATTTAAAACTCCTGATCTACAAGCTGGACACTCTTCAAATCCATGAATTTCATCCACTTTTTTTATAGGCTTCCAGCGTTCATATAAACGCAGTTAATGCTCTCTGTTTAGAAAGCATGCAAGTCATTAGCCTCTTCATCTGATCGAGCTTCATATGAACAGCAAGAAAAACTACGAATGCTAGTTTTAGTTAAACAGTTTCTGCCCCTTCTACAAACTTTCGATCTTCGCAATTCACTAATCGAATTGCTGGTTCTGTTTTGCATTGGTTATGTTCGATCCCACAGCCAGTTGGTCT